ATTTCAGGGACATTTTTTTACTCAGAAGTACCCCTGAAGGACTTAGTTGTTCGTCCTGTTACCAAAACTTAATTTGAGCCTGAGAGGATTAATATGACCTGGAAATATTCCTTACTTTTCTAAATCTCAGTTAAGAGAACACGCACATCCCAAAATTATGAGCAGCGGTTTGGAAAAAAGGACTGAGGATAGTCTCATTATTTCTAATTTAATTATATCTAACTGAACTGTACTGAGCCCCTGTGACTCCTACCTGATCCAATCAAATCCAATCCAATTTTATTTATATAGCACATTTAAAAACAGCATGTCAGCTGACCAAAGCACCGCACAGTTAAACCTAAAAAGCCATTCAAATTCACATACATATACATAAAACAAAATTAAAAACTGTCATAAAATAGAAACACCTAAAATCAAAACAAAAGTTAAAACAGCCAATAAAAACAGACGTCAATAAAAACAGAAGTCAGTAAAAACAGACGTCAATGAAAACAGAAGTCAGTAAAAACAGAAATTACAAAAAATGGAACAGAGGCACAGCATAAAAGAATGATAATTGGCCAAAAGCTAAATTAAAGAAATGTGTCTTTAGGCTGGATTTAAACTGTGCCAGTGAGGAAGCCTGGCGTACCACCAGAGGGAGTGCGTTCCAGAGTCTGGGAGCAGCAGAGGCAAACGCACGCTCCCCACAAGCTTTAAACTTCATTTTAGGGACTTTGAGCAATAGATGGTCAGCAGACCTTACTGACCGGGTGAAGTGGGGTGGGTGGTTGGGTGGGTGGGTGGGTGGGGGGGTGTAGGGGGTGAGCAGCTCTGACAAGTATAAGGGGGCTAGACCATTCAGGGCTTTGTAGGCAAAAGTTAGAACTTTGTATTGTATTCGAAAGTGCACAGGAATCCAGTGTAGATCAGCCATAATGGGAGTGATGTGACAGCGTCTATTTGTATTGGAAAGAAATCTTGCTGCAACATTCTGGACTTTTTGCAGACGATTTAGGACAGATACATTTGCACTGATAAGAACTGAGTTGGAAAAGTTGAATCTGGAAGTGATAAATGCATGTGTAGCACCCAACTCAAGTAGCTCTGGATTAACCCTCGGTTAAAATGGTGATAGTACTGTGAGCGGGGCCCTGGGTACATTAACTAATCTTATTGGTAAACAGGAGAAACAATGACTAACCAGTTTTAACCTTTTTCCCTTAAAACCTTATGTTGACGGTGCCTCCACTTAGTGAAAATAATATGAATTCTGTTTAATCTTCACCAAGAATAATGAATTTATCTAACATGTTAAACCTCCCTTTTACATTTTTAGTAACCCTTATCACTTATAAAATCTGTAACTAATAATGACACGACACAAACTTTAAATCCAAGATGTGAAATTTAGTCAAACAAAATATGATTTAAAATAAAAAATACAATATTCCAAAGTTTTGAAATGTTTCCTTACAATCCAATGGAAGGTTTTTCCCTCTTTACAATTCACAGTCAAGATTCAGAAAACAACACTTTTATCCAAAATATTCCCTTTTAAGTTCAGTTCAATTTTGTTGTAACCTTTGTGAGCTCATTCACTGAAACCGTTGCAGGCCTGATCGTTGCTTGGGCTCGTTGGGCCAGAAAACACACAAATGGCCGCTTCACTTGATAACCAGGAGAAAACAAAACGCACGTGCTCAGGTCTACTCACGAATCCTTTGGGCTAAGTGCAAGGCAAGCAGACGGGCAGTCTTGGTTGGTGACCATGAGGCCTCCACTCGGCAAGGTGGTCGGAATTAGCGGCATACCCGGGCTGCTGAGTACACTGGAACAACCACACAGAACTCCTATCCACAGCAGAAGAGTCCAGAGAATTCCTCTCGGTCCACTGTGCATTAGAGATGACTATTTAGTTCCACAGAATAAGCTGTATCTTACGTACTCGACATACATAGCTATTACAGGCTCTAAAATGCTAACATGCTAACTCGCGATTAGCACCATACATTTTAAGTACTTATACATTCCGTTTAAGCTCAATGCTAACTCCACATTCAGTACTCACTCATCACAGGGTAAAACAGTCCATAACAGGAAAGTAGACTCTGCATCCACGGCTATTATTTCACTATTCTTCCATTAGCTCTGGTACACAACCTCCTCCCGCAACGTGCTGCTGCCGACTCTCACTAACTTAGTTTTTTTTTTCTTTCGCCTCACTTAGCTCCCGCCTCCCTTACGTCTGATTGGACAATATGGTTACATCAACCAATGGGATAAAAGAAAATACAAGATTGACAACCCAAAATGAACTTGTAAAACAACTTAAAACAATACAAAGTTTTCCTTGTTTCACATTAGATAAACCTTTAGTTTCATTGTTACTTATAACTCCATGAACACTCAAATTATGATTGACTTCTATTTATTGTGATTTTAAACACAGTTTTAACCATTTGAACTCCTTGTTTTTTCAAATATATGAAATGTTTACAATAAAGGCTTTACACAATATTTATATCCTTTTAACCTGTAGGGTCTAGAATAGATATTTTAGACCAGGCTACACCCTCCCCGTCTAAAACATTTAGATGTCCTCATCTAATGCAGGATTTTAGACTTTGGCTCAGAGTAGTACCTTGGGTATTTAGAGTGTTTTCCAGTATGGTTTTTATCTCTGGTGCTACTGAGGTTCAACTGTATGACCATGCCTTGGTGTACAATAGTCACAGGCTCCTCAGACTGCTTTCCAGGTTTGTCATAGGTCAAGCGGATTACTGGTTTCACCTCTCGCTTTGACTTTCGAGTTTTAGGTCTTATGGTAGTCTCCAACTCCTCTTCTGTGTCTGCCGCCATATCACTAGTATCTCCTCCCACATTTGATGGCTGGCATTCCTCTTCATGGGAACTTTCAGAAGGTCCTTCCTCCAATTCCGGCTCACTTTCAGATGAGGGGGAATTATCAGATAGAAGAGGTTCTGTGTTAGGTCTATCGGGTCTGACTTCATGTCTCTGAACATGGTCACTGTTAATGGTGGGGTACTTGTAGACATACTCGTTCTCAGATTCGGAGTCTGGCAAGACATCAGATAATCGATCTTCTTGGTCCCGTATCAGACGCCTGGTGGCATGACGGCTTCTGGTAACTGGTGTTCTTACTCTTTCAGGTGGGACTGAGTTTATTCTGACAAGATAACCGATAGGTAGCAGATGGTCTCTGTGTAGAGTTTTGACACCTCCAGATCCTTGTTCCGGTTTTACCTTGTACACAGGTAGGTTCGGCAGTTGTGCGATGACAATGTAAGGTATTGACTTCCATCGGTCTTGCAGTTTGTGTTTACCAGTAAGGCCAACATTTCTTATCAGGACTCTGTCTCCTTCTTGTAACGGTTGGTCTCTTACTCTTTGGTCATTACGTGACTTGTTCCTCAAATGGTTCTTTGTTGCACTCTCGGTAGCTAGATGGTATGCTTGTTTGAGTTCTTTCCTCATCTTGTTGACGTACTGCAGGTGAGTCATCTCTGCGTCATCTTCAAGAACAGCACCAAAGCAAATGTCAATGGGTAATCTGGCATTACGTCCAAACATTAAATAGTATGGCGAATATCCAGTAGACTCATTTTTTGAGCAGTTATATGCATGTACTAACTGGCTAATGTGCTGACTCCAGTTTTGTTTCTGTACATTTTCAAGAGTTCCAAGCATTGAAAGCAAGGTTCTGTTGAACCGTTCTGGCTGAGGATCTCCTTGTGGATGATATGGTGAAGTACGTGATTTTCGGATACCTAGCATAGACAAGAGCTCTTTGATAAGGCGGCTTTCAAAGTCTCTACCTTGATCTGAGTGTATCCGGGCAGGTAATCCGTAATGCACAAAGTACTTCTCCCATAATACTTTTGCAACTGTGACTGACTTTTGGTCTTTTGTAGGGAATGCTTGGGCGTACCTTGTGTAATGATCGGTCACTACTAGTACATTAGCAACTCCTTTGCTATCTGGTTCAATCTGAAGAAAGTCAATACAGACTAGATCTAAAGGACCTCTGCTAGTGATTTGACAGAGTGGAGACGACCGTTGTGGGAGAGTTTTGCGAGAGACACAACGTCCACACGTTTTGATATACTGGTCCACATCAGCATTCATGCGTGGCCAATAGAAACGGTCTTTGAGGAGTTCTGTTGTCTTCTCAACTCCTAGATGTCCACATTCATCATGTAGTGATCTCATTACACTTGTTCTGTATCGTTCTGGTAAAACCAGTTGTTTGTGAACTGTGCCATTGGCCAGTTTTCTCTGTCGATACAGTATTTTGTCTCTCAGTTCAAGTTTCCTGCTCTCACGATTTAACAAAGACATATCAGGAGGTGAATGTTTGGATGTGATAAGTTGCTTTCCAGCTTGGATGGCTTGTTTGACTGGTCCAATGACTGGGTCCAGATCTTGAGCAACTTGTAAGTCTGTAGGAGTAAAGTGATCTTCCAAAGCTGCTTTTAGGCTTACTGGAAGGACGTAAGCTTCTGGAATCACGGATGTAGGAACTCCCAGTTGGTCTACTAGCCTGACAGGGGACTTAGTAGCTTCATAGATGGCTTCCTTTTTACAGATTGCTTTTATGGCAGACTGTGGGACATCTGTCCATTCAGTGTCATTGGTGTGTTGTCGGGACAATAGATCTGCATCTATGTTGTGACGACCAGGACGATATTGGATGTTGAAATCGTACGTGGCTAAAGCTGCAAGCCAACGATGTCCAACAGCATTTAGCTTTGCAGTGGTCAACACGTAGGTTAGGGGGTTGTTATCGGTTCTAACCGTGAACTTAACTCCATAAAGGTAGTCATGAAATTTATCCACGACCGCCCACTTTAGTGCTAAGAACTCCAGTTGATGGACCGGATAGTTTCGTTCTGAGTCACTGATCCTTCGGCTAGCAAAAGCAACAGGCTTAAGGCCCTCAGGGTACTCTTGATTGAGCACAGCACCTAAACCGTTCAGGCTAGCATCCACATGTAGGACATAAGGTTTGGTGGAATCTGCAAATGCCAAAACAGGGGCATTGGTCAGACATTCAATGATTTTTTTTGAATGCGACTTGACAGGAGTGGTCCCATCGCTCTTTGAATGGCTCAGAAGGTCTGAGGTAGGTTTTGGTTGGGTCTTTGGTTTGAGCTCCCTTGTTTTTCTGAGTAGGTGGATAACCTTTGGTAAGCTCAGTTAATGGGCGGACTATGCTGGAATAATTTGCAATAAATCTGCGATAATACCCACAGAAACCAAGGAATGAGCGAAGGGTTTTTAGATCTGTTGGCTCCGGCCAGTTCCTGACAACCTCTACTTTTTCGGGATCGGTGGCTATCCCATCTTTTGAGACAATATGACCAACATATTTGACTTGGGACTGACAGAACTGACATTTGTCAAGCGACAATTTCAGACCAAACTCCTCAAGGCGATCTAAGACTTTTAGGAGACGTTGCTCATGCTCTTCGAGTGTTCTACCAAAGACGATTATGTCGTCAAGGTACACTAGGACTTGGAGAAGGTGCATATCACCCACGGCCTTTTCCATGAGCCGCTGAAAAGTGGCTGGGGCTCCTGTGATGCCTTGTGGCATTCGTTCAAATTGATAGAACCCCAGGGGGCAGATAAATGCAGTCTTTTCCTTATCTTGCTCAGACATGGCAATTTGGTAGTACCCACTCCTAAGATCGAGGACTGAGAACCATTTGCTGCCCGTAAGACAATCTAAGGCGTCATCAATACGAGGGATGGTATACTGGTCGGGGATCGTACGGCTGTTTAAAGTTCTGTAGTCGATGCAGATTCTGATGGAGCCATTTTTTTTCCGCACTACAACAATAGGTGATGCAAAGGGGCTTCGAGACTCTTTGATAATGCCTGCCGCTAACAACTGCTGTAGGTGTTGTCGTACATCATCAATATCTGCCGGAGCTAAGCGGCGTGAGCGCTCTCTAAAGGGGGTAGAGTTGCTAAGCCGGATGTTATGTTCTACGTCTTTAGCCAATCCCACATCCCCTTCATCAAGAGAGAAAACATTACGCCTCTGCGCTAGCTTTTGCTGTAGTCTTTTCTTCCACTCTGTTGGAGCAGGAGAGTCACCAAAATCAAAGAGTTCGGGAGCTACGGTACTAGCTTCAGACTCTAACACTTTAGGATCGGTGACTACGTCTACTGCATGCATCTCGGCAATGACTGTGCCGACTTGGATAGAGGTAGGTTTCTCTGACTCATTCTGTAATAGCACGATGAAACTGTTCTCATCCATGTCACTTTCACGGAGAACACCTGGCTGGACCAACACTGCGGATGGGAGTTGGGGTATGGCAGGTGCCTCAACCAAAACAACATCTTGGGGTTTAGTTCTTTTCTGCTCTACTTTACAGGTGGCATAACAACTTTTCCCTGGAGCAATGGTAAGTGGCCCTGGACCTTGCCATTTCACTTGCCCTATGGGATCGTCGCCTCCACTGGACCTTAAGGACTGAGTTTGGATTTTATCATAAACTGCCTGTATCCTCATGGAGCTGACCTTGTTCTCATTACCGCTATCTCTGCACAACTGAAATAGGCGGCTGAACAGAAAAGCGTTGGTACCAACCACTACAGGAGTTTCATGACCTTGCGGGGGCTCTGGACAAACAAGAGCGAGGACGTTAAGAGGACCCTTGACACCTGCTACATCCTCAGGGAACTCTATCTCTACTACTACATACCCATGGTAAGGGTAGGACTCAGCTGATAGGCCCCAGATGGCTAGATTGGAAATGGGCTGTATAGGGACTGTTGGTATATTGGCTCTATACCAATCCTCAAAGATAATGGTCACTGATGATCCTGAATCCATAAGACCATGGCATGAGATGTTATTGACCTTAATAGGAGCTATGGATGATGGACCAATAAGACCTTCCGGTATGTTGGCACTTTGAGTTGGAACGTTGGTAGTATTAACTCGAGCAACACACTGATCTTGAGCGTCGGTACTTTGACTTTGTCCATTTGGGCTTCCATGCACTTGATGAATAAGCCTTTTGATTACCTTTTGAGCATTTTCCGGAGCTGTACATTTGTTTGCAAAATGGCCATTTTCTCCACATCTGTAGCAGAAATTATCTGACTCTTTACTACTCTTTGGCTTAAAGGTAGATGACTTTGGACTGAAGTCCGCTTTGAACTTAGAATAGTGCCCTCTCTCTTTTGCATAATGTTGTGGCGTTACCGACATGACACTTAACTGTGTTTTCAGCTCTTTGACTTCTTTTCTTAACTGTTGCATTTCGCTGCTTGTGTCTGGTTTCTCTTTTTTCTTTTCTCTGGACATCTTTTTGTGGCTTGACTCTGTAGAATGAGACTGCTTACTGAGCTCTTTCAGCTTTTCTTTTAGCACTTGAATTTCGGACTGAAACTCATGTTGCTGACAATCTCTGGAGTCTGTTTCGCTTGCTACTTGCACTGCATGCACGTGCTGTCTCTGTGCTGGTTTTTTCAGTTTTTGTCTTGCAGCTTCACGCTCCTCTTCTTCTCGAATTTCTTTCAGTAGACTTAAAAATGTCGGGGGATCACTTCGCTTACCTCTAAGACCTAACTGAAGCAGCATAAAGTCTGATTCAGTGGCACCTTTAATGAGTTGCTCAAGCCTTGCTCGGTTGGCTTCATCTACTTGTAGGCCTCCTTTTTGCACGACTTTGTTCAGTAATCTTTCCAGTCTCAGCAAGAAGTTAGACAAGCACTCCCCTTGTCTTTGATGCATAGCTCTGAATGTGAGATACAGTTCCTCACCGGATTCTGCGGTACCAAAGGTACTTTCCAATGCCTGTATGTAGTCCACATGGTTTGCCAGGGGATTAGACATGCGCACTGCTTGAATGATCTCCAGCGCTGGCCCTTTGAGACTCTCAATAATTCTTCGGCGTTTCTCCTTATCTGAGCACTCATACTCATCAGTCATGAACTTTACTTGTTCTAGCCAGCTATCCAAGTTGTCTTCACCAGGTGGAGTAGGGTAGACTCCTGAGAAGATTCTAAAGCGACGGTATAAATTGCTTTCATTTGGCTTGGACTGCAACACATCACCTACCACCCGAATGATTGACTCAGGGCTGCTGTTCCATGGAGTTCTAGGATCACATAGTCTTTTAACATCCTCCAATGTTTTCCCTTCATCACGTAGAAATCTGTCCAACTTCTCTGTGAATAGGTCGGAGTTTGTTTCTTGCTCTGCAACAACTATTGTCCATTTACTTCCATCCTTAAAGGAAATCAACTCTGGCGGGACTTTGGTAGGATCGACTGCTTCACGGCATTCACATAACATGGTCAGGGTTTGATTATTGGCATCAAACATTTTTCCTCTTACTCTTACCTTGCCCAAGGTTTTTACTTGTTCGAGTGTTTCTTCTACTGTGGATAGGTCCTCCTCTTCAGGCACTCCGACAACTAGAATGGCATGTGCCTGATCGAGCCCTTCACCTCTGCACCAATTTGCAAGATTCGGTTGTGAGTCATTACTTTTAGTGGCCATAGTTTAACAAATTACGTTGTAGGGGGAAGAAAAGAGATTAACTGAAGTTGCTTTTTAGGACCAGTGTTACTCTTAATTACTTTAAGGTTACAGCAGATTTAGTGGTAACTTAAAATGTAGATAAAACAACAACAATCCCAGCGGTGCCTCCAAATGTGTAGCACCCAACTCAAGTAGCTCTGGATTAACCCTCGGTTAAAATGGTGATAGTACTGTGAGCGGGGCCCTGGGTACATTAACTAATCTTATTGGTAAACAGGAGAAACAATGACTAACCAGTTTTAACCTTTTTCCCTTAAAACCTTATGTTGACGGTGCCTCCACTTAGTGAAAATAATATGAATTCTGTTTAATCTTCACCAAGAATAATGAATTTATCTAACATGTTAAACCTCCCTTTTACATTTTTAGTAACCCTTATCACTTATAAAATCTGTAACTAATAATGACACGACACAAACTTTAAATCCAAGATGTGAAATTTAGTCAAACAAAATATGATTTAAAATAAAAAATACAATATTCCAAAGTTTTGAAATGTTTCCTTACAATCCAATGGAAGGTTTTTCCCTCTTTACAATTCACAGTCAAGATTCAGAAAACAACACTTTTATCCAAAATATTCCCTTTTAAGTTCAGTTCAATTTTGTTGTAACCTTTGTGAGCTCATTCACTGAAACCGTTGCAGGCCTGATCGTTGCTTGGGCTCGTTGGGCCAGAAAACACACAAATGGCCGCTTCACTTGATAACCAGGAGAAAACAAAACGCACGTGCTCAGGTCTACTCACGAATCCTTTGGGCTAAGTGCAAGGCAAGCAGACGGGCAGTCTTGGTTGGTGACCATGAGGCCTCCACTCGGCAAGGTGGTCGGAATTAGCGGCATACCCGGGCTGCTGAGTACACTGGAACAACCACACAGAACTCCTATCCACAGCAGAAGAGTCCAGAGAATTCCTCTCGGTCCACTGTGCATTAGAGATGACTATTTAGTTCCACAGAATAAGCTGTATCTTACGTACTCGACATACATAGCTATTACAGGCTCTAAAATGCTAACATGCTAACTCGCGATTAGCACCATACATTTTAAGTACTTATACATTCCGTTTAAGCTCAATGCTAACTCCACATTCAGTACTCACTCATCACAGGGTAAAACAGTCCATAACAGGAAAGTAGACTCTGCATCCACGGCTATTATTTCACTATTCTTCCATTAGCTCTGGTACACAACCTCCTCCCGCAACGTGCTGCTGCCGACTCTCACTAACTTAGTTTTTTTTTTCTTTCGCCTCACTTAGCTCCCGCCTCCCTTACGTCTGATTGGACAATATGGTTACATCAACCAATGGGATAAAAGAAAATACAAGATTGACAACCCAAAATGAACTTGTAAAACAACTTAAAACAATACAAAGTTTTCCTTGTTTCACATTAGATAAACCTTTAGTTTCATTGTTACTTATAACTCCATGAACACTCAAATTATGATTGACTTCTATTTATTGTGATTTTAAACACAGTTTTAACCATTTGAACTCCTTGTTTTTTCAAATATATGAAATGTTTACAATAAAGGCTTTACACAATATTTATATCCTTTTAACCTGTAGGGTCTAGAATAGATATTTTAGACCAGGCTACACCTGAATAACAGATTTTAAGTGCGGCCTCTTAAGAATGGGCTTTAGTCGGGTAAGGCGACAAAGCTGGAAGAAGCAGGATTGAACAGTGGCATTAACATGTATACTCATTGACGAATCAGCATCCAGTTTAACCCCAAGGCTGGTCACAGGAATTAAGGTTGAGGGGGGAGAGATCAAAGGCAGCAGAAGTATGCAGATTATGTTTTGATTTAAAAGAATGGCCTCGGTCTTATATTCATTGAACTTCAGGAAATTGGAAGCTAGCCAGGTTTTAATTTCTGAGAGACATTCTGAGAGCTGAGGAAAGGAACTTGACTGATTTAAAGCCATATAAATTTGACAGTCATCAGCGTAAACGTGATAATGTAAGTCCCGTTTAGCAATGATGTTTTCCAGTGGAAGAGTATATATAGAAAAAAGGAGTGTACCTAGAATATAACCACGTGGAACTCCCCAGGGGAGCGGGACAAAAGGAGAAGAACAATTTCCTATGTGAATGCTGAAACTTCTATCAGACAGATAAGAGTGAAACCAGTTTAGCGCGGCCCCTGTGACTCCAACAAAAGATTCCAGCCTGGTTAGCAGAATGTTATGGTCAACTGTATCGAATGCCGCTGATAGGTCAAGCAGTAGTAACAGAACAAAGGAACCAGCATCAGTTTCTGTCTGAATGTCATTTAACAAACGAATATGTGCAGACTCAGTGCTATGATTTGGCCTAAAAGCAGACTGAAGATGGCCAAGTAGTGAATGTTCCAGTAAATGATGTGAGAGTTGAGCATGTACCACTTTTTCAATAACCTTAGATAAAAAATAAAGTTCGGAGATTAGATGAAAACTTGCATAATCATTTTGATCCAGGTCAGTTTTTTTCAATAGCAGTTGGATGACTGCCTGGTCAAAGGATTCTAGAAACACTCCAGATGACAAACTGTAATTTAAAATATTCAGAATAGAAGGACCCACTACTGGTAGAACACCAAGTAGCAACATTGGGGGGAGAACATCCAGTGGGGAACCTGAGGGTTTCATTGACCTGATTAATTTATCAAGATCTTGAACGGAGACATGATCAAAATCAGAGAACGGAGGAGAACAGAGTGACTCTTTCTGGGTAACAAGTCTCAACAGATTATGTCTAATAGTACAGATTTTTTCCAGGAAAAAATTCTGAAAATCAGTGCATAGTGCTGTGGTTGGTGTGGAGGGGGCAGTGGATTCCTTTAGTGAAAGAACAGAGTTAATTGTACTGAAAAGCTTGCACTGATCACCACGATGCCTCTCAATTATGTTGGCAAAATAATTATTTTTAGCTGATCTCACAGCTTTTTGGTAAGCTGCCAGAGAGTCTCTCAGCATTTGGAGGCAAATTTGTAGCTTGCCCTTTTTCCATCTGCGTTCAAATGTCCTACACTGGTGTCTGAGAGCACAAGTGTTGTCGTTTAACCAGGGATCAGAGACAGTCTTTTTTTGCCTGAGTTTAAGCTGTGCAACCTTTAAAAACTGAATCAGTGTTTAGTTGAATATCTGAAGATCTTACAAAGCAAAAGCAACCAGAACGATGGTAATATTTACCTCTATTATTAAACAGAATCTAACTGTGATTTCATTGAATTTTCTTAATTGAATGTACTCTGAATTGGTAACTTCAGATTTTTCAACTAATTTTGCTTTTTGTTCTTTTTTTCGGTATGGATAATCAAGAATTTCATCAGCAGTCCGACAGGAACCATAAACAATCGACCAACTGACCAAGCCTGGAAGGAACATCAGTGGCACCTACCTGTTCAAGATAGGTGTCACTGATATCAGCAGGAAGTCTGATGCTAAATAAACCAAGCAGCCTGTGGTTCCCTAGTGAGAATGTGAAAGGATGAAACTGGGTATGTCTTTGGATTGCAGGTGAAGCCATTTAACTGAAGCAAATTGACGAAAACATGATTAATGAAACATCAAGATGCAGAAATGTTTCATTAAAGTGACAATGTGTATTTTCCCTAGCAATAAGGGATAGTAAATACCTAAATCATTGCATGCAAGTTGTATTTTTGTGTTCGAATAATGTATAAAAAAGCAACAACGTTTATGAATGGCAAAGTTTTGTAACTGTTTGCTACAAATCAGTAAAGGCATTTTGTCCTCACAGGCTCCCGTAGAAGAAAAAATGGCTTCTAATATGGAGTTGCCCAGAGACTTAGACCCACTCTCGTGTATTTTAGACATGATCTTTATGGTTATATGTTCTGAAGCCGCCAATATTTTTCAACAACTGGGCATTTCATTTTCAACAACATTTTGATGGATATTTCCAGAGGTTAATGGTAAAGACTGCACATTGTCTCTTTAAAGAATACCATTTGATGGCTAAAATGAATATTACTTAAGCAGACTTCAAAGTCTGAGGCTGAGTGTCATCTGCTGAACATATCATTTTAGGGATGTGTAAAATAATTGTATTTGAGGTAGCACACAGATGGAGAGACGGAGCGTCTAAGGATTGTGCCCTGAGGTACTCCGTAAATGGAATTTTCAGTAGAAGAGCTACAGTCATTGGTGGAAGCATGAAATGACTAAAGTAGATCCAAAACAGAGCCAGAAATAGCAAATTATTTCAGAAGAAAAATTATGTCAATTTATAGTTGCTGAAAATAAAAGTATACAAATTCTAGGAGAGGCATCATCTCTGCCTTGGCCTATTGGAAAGCACATATTGGCTATTTCTAAAAGTGGTGCCTATCATGAGTAAAAGTCAACTCAGTTTTCTTTCTTGAAGCTTTCTACTTAAATGAGAAGCTTCAAATGACAAAATAATAAAACGCAACCCTTAACAACATACAGTTGAGCTTTAACGTTAAACAATGGCCTATACAGGTAATTTCAGACATTGCTGATCTTCAGCAGTGAGATCACCACTTATCTGAGCACAAGGCTGAAAATCAGGAATGAGCTCACTGTATCTTGAATCAATAAGACAATCTATTCTGGGGTGCTGCTGCATTTGCAGAAAGTATTTTGAAGGCTTTCCTGTGTTACACTGGACCTCCCATCATTCACCAGTGTAGTGTACCAAAGGACAACAATTTGGTTATTTGTCCATTGCAAGATCAGAGGTCATCTCACAGAAGTGTCCAGGCTGTTCCACCTGCCTGGAACATTGTGTTCCCCCTGCACTGGTCTCCAAACCAGTAAACACACTGCTCTATGACCTTGTTGCCAAGAAGGGAAGCCATAATAAACCCTTCCCCTGAATTGCTTTATCTTAGCTGAAACCAAATCGGCAGAAGAATAAAGTTAATCTTCCTTGAATCATAAATGACTTTACCACTTTACAGGTTGATATGATTAAATATGTCAAATGAACAAGATGTTAAATCCAAAGTGGTTTAAAATTGTGTACATTAATCAATGATTGGTTAAAAAGAATATTGTTCCTGCAGTTATTACTTTCAGGTCTTAAATTATAGCAGATTAATATTTGTTGATTTAATAATTTAATCAATATATTCACACCTCGCAATAACTGTTGAATTAATGTATTAAAATTTTCCCTTCACACTAATTGTGGGCTGCCACCTTACCGCGGTGGAGGGGTTTGAGTGTCTCAATGATCCTAGGAGCTAAGTTGTCTGAGGATTTCTGCCTCTGGTAGGGTCACCCATGGCAAGCAGGTCCTAGGTGAGGGATCAGACAAAGAGCAGCCCTAAGACCTCTTATGATGATTTATATAAATGGAAACCGTGTTCCCTCGTCTGGACGTGGGTCACCTGGGTCCCCCTCTGGAGCAAGGCCTGGAGGTGGGGCACGTTGGCGAGCGCCTGGTGGCCGGGCATTCACCCATGGAGCCCCGTCGGTCACAGCCCGAAGAGGAAACGTGGGTCCCCCTTCCCATGGGCTCACCACTTGTGGGAGGGGCCAAAGGGGTCGGGTGCAGTGTGTGACGGGTGGTAGTCGAGGGCGGAGACCTTGGCGGTCTGATCCTCGGCTACAGAAGCTGGCTCTTGGCACATGGAATGTCACCTCTCTGGTGCGGAAGGAGCCTGAGTTGGTGTGTGAGGTTGAGAGGTTCCGACTAGATATAGCCGGACTCACCTCAACACATGGCTCTGGCTCTGAAACCAGTTTCCTTGAGAGGGGTTGGGCTTTCTACCACTCTGGAGTTGCTCCCACTGAGAGGTGCCGAGCAGGGGTGGGCATATTAGTTGCCCCCCATCTTGGTGCATGTATGTTGGGGTTTATCCCAGTGAATGAGAGGGTAGCCTCCCTCCGCCTACGTGTGGGGACATGTTCTGACTGTAGTCTGTGCTTTTGCACCAAACTAGAGTTCAGACTACCCACCATTTGTGGAGACCTTGGAGGTAATGCTGGAAAGCGCTCCTTCTGGTGACTCCCTCATTCTGCTGGGGGACTTTAACGCTCACGTGGGCAACGACAGTGAGACCTGGGGAGGTGTGGTTGGGAAGAACGGCCCCCCTGATCTGAATTTGAGTGGGTTTTTTTTTTTTTTTTTTTTTTGTTATCGGACTTCTGTGCCAGTCACAGATTGTCCATAATGAACACCATGTTCAGACATAAAGGTGTCCATATGTGCCCTCGGCACCAGGATACCTTAGGCCGC